AAACTGACTCAGTATCATGACAGGAAAAGGGCTGAACTTTTTAAGTGAAGGAGCACCTACCCTCCTTGTTCAGAATGACAGGGAGAGAAGCCCTCTCTAGCGCCCTCTCCAGGAGGAGTGACTTGTGAGTGTTGCTTGGTTCAGCTGAGCAGAAATGCATGGCACCGTTTAGTTCAGTGGCACCACCCTCTTGTGCCAAGATGACCATGGTTTACTCTCCTGGGCAGCTCGGGGGTGGGGTGGGGTGGGGGGTTCATGGGTGCTGGAGGCCAGAAGTGAAACAGATGCATTCTAGCTCCCAGCACAGAAAACTATAAAGCTCTCTCTGCCTGTGTTATCAATTACATATTTACTTTGTTAGCATGAGATAGATGAATATTTCTACATACAAAGGTGCCCAGCTAAAATCAGGCTAAGTGATATTAATGTCCTATGGTCAGTATTATTGAACCTCAAAAGCAATAAACTTTATGAGTCAATAAATATTACATTTGCAGCATAGTTAACATTCCTTTACTGTCTCTAGCTCTTATTACACATGGTAACTGCAAGTCTACAATACATTATTCATATTTGGGGTGTCACCAAGTGATGGATTGCTGTAGGAGAGGCTGTCCTTTAAATAAATCAACAAATAAAAATGCAAATGTTAACATTTTCAGCCACAACTTTTTCCATCTTGAATGGGGAATGAAAATTTCACATTATATTGACAGGCAGCAGAGAGAACAATTAACAGCCTACACCGTGAATGAGAAAGATGACTTTGCCACGCCTCATTTTATCACCTGCATATGGAATGATACAGGGGTTTCTAGGTGTTAGCACTTTGCAGAGAACAAAGGAAAACCTGTCTCCCACTAACACACGCCCCACACCCATATTCTCTTGCAAGACTTGCAAATTCTTGGGATTTTGGGGTGGACAGGGAAAGGTCTTTTACTCTTGTTTACCTTAGTATTACCTTCAAAGATTTGTTGCGACAAAGAACAATAGGTTTTTCTTTTGCATTGAATTCCCTGTAACTGAAAAGTAGTCTATAAAAAAATGCCTTTTCTACACTTTGAAATAAAAATAATTCAAATAATCCCGATTCTGAAGTCTGGAAAGCAACCACTGTGCCTTCCTGGTAACTGATTTCATAGCACTGAATCTTTTTCAACTCTGCACTTTGTAGAATAGACCTATAACATGCCATTGTGCATGTCTAAGGACAAAACCTGGTGTGCTACACATTGTTTCTTTAGCTTTAGCTAAATGCTCATTATTTAAGAAGCTTCTGAGGATCTATATTTAGCTGGTCTGCAGTACTAAGAACCAGCAGATACAGAATCCTTTTTCCTAAGGTCCATAAATATGCGTCTTCACAGCAATTTTAACTGGCCTTGTAAAACTCTACAAAGTTGATACGGTCCATTCAGAAAATGTGTGCTGAGGATGTTCTATAAAACTCTTCCTGGGAAGCACTTGCTTTTACCTTTTCATGCTTCTCACTAAACTGAAATGCAAGAATCAAATACACATTAAAGTAGTGTTAAAGGTTCCATTTTAATCTCCAACAACAGGGAAATTCACCAAGACTGAAATCCCGGGCTCTCCCTCCTCTTTACCTGTAATTCCTCCAGAGGACTCCCTCAAGATGAGCAAGGACACATCCTCTGAGCACAGGCGTTCAGCCACAACGTTAAGCCGCTAAGGTGGGAACCCCATCAATATTGCAGAACCACAACTCACTGTGGGTCTTTGGCAAAATAACAGCAGCATTAAGAAGGAAAAAAGGAGTAATAAACAAAGAATGTGGTAAACTAATTAAATTTTCTTTTGGTTGTGGGTGGCCTCCAAAATAGGGAGGTTGTCTTTGTCAACTATTGTAATATTTAAGATGATGGCCTTTGGAGCCTGTAACGCTGGCTCACCTCTTATTGGCTATGTGACCTTAGGCAAGTCACTCAGTCTCTCTGAGCCTTAGTTTCCTAATTTTTAAAGTGAGGGTGACAATAGTACCACTTCATAAGACTGCGATGAAGATTAATTAAGTCAGATGATGCACACAAAGGGCTGGGAATACACATGCTTAATAGATGACAGACATTATTGTCATCCTCTGTGTCATTTCCCAAAAGTTCTTTAAAATTAAAATTGTCTTAAAATTTGTATTCATCTCATAAGTTACTAGGTATTTAAGTGCTCAAACAATCATATTCCCAAGGAAAAGTAAACCAAGCCCTTTTGGTTTTGATATTTATATATTCAGCCATAAGCAGATAAATGAGAGTTCGCTTATTAGATATGAGAAATCTTAATGACATATTTAGTTTCCTGATTCCAAACAAGACTGGTCAAATTATTAGCTCTTCATTCAAATTTCTCTGTTATAAGTAAATGTTGACAGTCCTTTAATTGTAGTACAAAATCTACTATATTTTTCAATATCAATAATTCAGTTAGTTAAATTTACAGTCCAGTGTACAGCTATTCTGTGATAAATTGGGAAGGACTTGCTGTTAAGTAGATTTTTTTTTTTTATGAAGGAGGATTAGTTGTGTTTCCATGGAAATCCTCACCAATTACCATTATCAACTAGGGAAAGGCAAGTTTAAAGAAAAGTGCTCCATGAGCTCAACTGGCCAAATCTAGATGCCAAAAAAGGCCTCTCTTTTGAGTATCAGCCATTAATACTATCAAGATTTTTCCACTCTTTATTAAATAAACCTCAAAAATGCTCTATGGAAATAAAAGGCATCCCAAATGTAATGGAACAAGTAAAAACTGTCACTATTTGCAGATGACATGATACTACACATAGGAAACCTTAAAGATTCCACCAAAAATATGTTACAATAAATGAAATCAGTAAAGCTGCAGGATATAAAAAATTAACACACAGAAATCAGTTGCATTTCTACACACTAATAGCATGCTACCAGAAAGAGAACTTAAGAAAACAATCTTATTTACAATTGAATAAAAATTCCTAGGAATAAATTTAAACAAGGAGGTAAAAGACCTGTACTCTGAAAACTATAAGACACTGATGAAAGAAATTGAAACAACACAAATAAATAGAAAGATAGATCAAACTCACAGATTGGAAAATTAATATTGTTAAGATGTCCATATTACCTAAAGCAATCTGCAATCCCTATCAAAATACCAATAGCATTTTTAACAGAACTAGAAAAGAGAATCCTAAAATTTGTATGGAACCACAAAAGATCCCAAATAGCCAAAACAATCTTCAGAAAGAACAAAGCTAGACTCATCATGCTCCCTAATTTCAAAGCACACTACAAAGCTACAGAAATCAAACCAGTATGGTACTGGCATAAAAACAGACGGATCAATGAAATAGAATACACCACTGAAAAATAAACCACACATATATGGTCAATTAATTTATGACAAAGGAAGAATATACAATGGGAAAAAGACAGTCTTTTTAATAAATGGTAATGAAAAGCTGGACAGCTATATGGGAAAGAATGAAACTGGAACACTATCTTATACCATATACAAAAATAAATTTACAATGGATTAAAGACCTGAAAACCATTAAACTCCTAGAAGAAAACATAGGCAGTAAAGTCTTTGACATTGGTCTTAGAAATATTTTTTTAAACTAGTCTCCTCAGGCAAGGGAAACAAAGCAAAATTAATAAATGAGACTACATCAAACTAAAAAGCTTTTGCAGAGTGAAGGGAACCATCAACAAAACAAAAGGCAACCTATTGAATGGGAGAAGATATTTGCAAATCATACATCCAATAAAGGGTTAGTGTCCAAAATATATAAAGAACTTATACAACTTAATGCAAAACACACACACACACACACACACACATACACACTACAGATTCTGATTAAAAAATGGGCAGAGATATTTTTTTTTCCAAAAAAAGATATACAGATGGTGAACAGACACATGAAAAGATGCTCAACATCACTAATCAGGAAAATGCAAATCAAAACTACAATGAGGCATCACCTCACACCCGTCAGAATGGCTATTATCAAATAGACAATATCAACAAACAAGTGTTGGTGAGAATTTGGAGAAAAGGGAACCCTTGTTCACTGTTTGTGGGAATGTAAATTGGTACAGTCATTATGGAAGACAGTATGGAGGTTCCTAAAAAAATTAAACATAAAATTACCATATAATATAGCAATTCCACTTCTGTGTATTTATCTGAAGAAAAAAACCCACTGATTTGAAGAGATATGTGCACCCCTATGTTCATTGCAGAATTATTTACAACAGCCAAGACATGGAAGCAATGTAGGTATCCACTGATAGATGAGTGGATAAAGAAGATGTGGTATGAAAGTAAGAAACCTTGTTATTGTTTGGGTTATATTTTGATTTTTGAAACCCCAGTGCATGAATTCTGTCCAGATGCTGGAGGTAAGAGTACTTGAATAAATTATCATAAATTATCTTGTGAAACACACACATACACACACACAATGTGGTATATATGTAACAGAATATAGCTCAGTCATAAAAAGAATGAAACGTTGCCATTTGCAACAACATGGATGGACCTAAAGGGTATTATGCTAAGTGAAATAAGTCAGACAGAGATAAATACTGTATGATTTCCCTTATATGTGGAATTTAAAAAGCAAAGCAAACAAACAAACAAAAGAGAACAAACTCATAGATACAGGAAACAAACTGATGGGTACAGAAAGGGGAGGGGTTGGGGTGGCAGCTGAAATAGGTGAAGGGGACTAAGAGCTACAAACTTCCAGTTAAAATAGAAATAAGTTATAAGGATATAATGTACAGCGTATGGAATACAGTCAATAACATTATAATAACTTTGTATGATGACAGATGGTAACTAGATTTATTGTTGGGATCATTTCATAATGTATATATCAAATTGCTATGATGTATACCTGAAATTAATATGATATTATACGTCAATAAAAACAAAATTTAAAAAATGCTCTTCTCTGGAGAATATTAAATCAAAGAACACCTAACACTTACCGGGAAGATTCATGTTGGAATGACGATGTGGTTGAGCATAAAAGGTCCTTTTGGCTTTCGGCTGTTATAGGAGATGTGGACGCATCTTTTCTAACTCCTGTCATTGTCCCTGTATGAACGATAAAGGAAACAATTTGGGAAGTCAATAAAAAGAAATGGAAAAGCCCATTCTGAGTAATATATTAGAGATTATAGGAATTCCTAAGCTTTGAAATTAAGCATCCCCCATCCCCCCCGTGAGATGAAACAATGACAGATGGAAAACTCAGCGGGTTGTTTTGATTTTGTGAGCATCAGAGATCTGCAATATCTTGTTTTAAAAAAGTACATTTGTGCAGTAACAGACTAACTAGAGCTTTTTAAAAAACCTGATTCCTCTCATATTCCTGCTGGTTTGGGTTTACTGTGAAAATGCCCAAGATGATAGATTGCTTTATTTCATTCCCCTTAACGAACATAATAAAAGATCATTCTTCTCTCTGACAAAATAGAAGATTCCAGCACTCTATATCTCCACCCCCCCAAATTAAACTTATCCTGCCCCCAAAGCTTTCAAGGTAGACATGAACCTTGAATGTTTCGTTCAAAGACTCTACACTGGCTAAAGGAAGTGTCTCACTGGAAGAGATGCTCAACTAACCAGCCTGGGCCCATTGGCCTCCGCTCCTCTCTAACAAGCAATGTGCATAACTTCTTTCCTGAAGTGCTAAAGAAGAAGAAGATATGGACATGAATATTTGTTGTGGTTGTTTGTTTCTAGTTATTAGTATTTCTAATAATAATAATTTCTCCTTCTTAATATTATTTTCCAAACAACACAAAATGTCCCTGTCTTTTTCTGGAACGCTTATTTACAGTCTTCTTCTGATTCCTGGGAGACTACAATCCAGGCTGCTTAAGGAAGTTATTTGGGAAGATTCACTCTTTCTTTGAGAAAAGGGTGAATATTCAAATAATGCAAAGATAGCTTTGGTGTGTTGGGAATCCCAGACCCTAAAATGCCAAGCACATAGTCTGCTAACTTCAGGAACGGAACAGTTTAGGTGTGACCCAGGAAATCAGAACTGGAGAAAGCAAGAGCAATCACCACGGACCCTGGCATTCTCAACTATACTCAGTATTAACTGCTCACTGTTATGGATGGATGTAAATCACTAGCCACCTAAATGCACAACTGTCTTTTGTGTACACAAACCTGTGGGACCCTCAACCCAAACCAGTACATTCTCACACTAGACATTAGTCCTCAGTCCACACAGTGCATTCAGTCAGTAAATATTTGTCAAGCACCGAACAACAGGCAAGGGCTGGTGCCAGGATTAAGCTCAAGCTTAGCTTAGGAGGAGGGGAAAGAAGGTGTGAGAGCAAGAGGATGAGTTACTCTCAACAATACAGTACTGTAAAGAATCAAACATGACCCAAGGCAGTATACAGCAGTAACAATAGGTACAGTATGCCTGGCACTCTCCTCTTTTTCATATACCATATATTCTTTTATAATAAACAGTTTCATTAAAGTATAATTTGAATACCGTAAATTTTAACTATCTTAGGTGTACAGTTTGATAATAGTAGCAAATCTGTTCAGCTATGCAATCATGGGCACAACCAAGTTTTAAACATTTTTGTCATGGTATTTGCTTATTTATTTTTACAACCCAGTTTTATAATATTTCCACACACCAAAAAGGCCCCTTATGCCCATTTGTAGTTCCCTTCATCCTGACTGGTCTGTTATTGCCCTCTCCCTTCCCCCAGCTCTATCTCTATAGTTTGGCCATTTCATAAAACCCTTTGCGATAGACACTATTTTTATATCTAATTTCCAGGTAAGGAAATGAGCCATAGGGACTTACATGACCTGCCAAGGTCACAAAGCTATATGTGACGGAGCCAGCATTCTTGCCCAGACACTTTGATCCAGGAGTTTTCACCATTCTGCTAGTTACTGCATATTAAATAGGATGAAAAGTCTGAGGAATTAACAAGGGAGAGAGATCACATCAGCTGTAGGGAAGACAATGCAGGAGGTGGAATTTTGACAGAAGGAATAGGGAGCATGGAATTAGCAAAAGCACTAAATTAACAACCTCAAGGCTACATGTTTGGTATATCCAGGAAATATTTATTGAGCACACTATGTCCTGTACCTTGCTAATCACTTTAAATGCATTATCTCATTAGTCCTTAATTTATATTATTGTCCTCATTTTATGGAATAGGAAGTGGAAAGTGAGAAAAGGTCAAGCAGCATGTCCAGTATCACAGGGCTGCTAAGAGCAAGGCTGGGTTTTAAATACAATCAAGGTCTGTACTGCAAACTCAACACTGTGCTAGCTGGCCTAAAAAATAAAACAAAGCAGCAGTAATGACCATTCAAAAACAACAACTGGGCCCAGCAGGTGTGGCTCGGTGGTTGAGCATAGACCTAAGAACCAGAAGGTCATGGTTTGATTCCCAGTCAGAGCACATGCCCGGGTTTCAGGCTCGATCCCCAGTAGTGGGCAGGTAAGAGAAAGCCCATCAATGATTCTCTCTCATCATTGATGTTCCTAACACTCTCTTCCTCTCCTTCCTCTCTCTGAAGTCAATAAAACAACAAAGGAACAAAAGGAACCCTAATTTGTTATGTAAATAAACATCTTTCTCTAAAAAACAACAAATGGCCTTTGGAGAGATTACTTTTGTGCTAGAATTTAGAACAGAGTAAAAGAGAGAGAAGGGAGGCAGGTGAAGCCATTCGCCATGCCTACAACTGTCTGGGCAGAGTTTGGGGATGGAGGGGAAATTAAAATAAGCACCTGAGAGTAGTAGCAACTGAGAAGGCCTTGTGGGGGAGGTGAGAAGGAAGGGCTGCCTGGGGACGATGGAATAAATGTCTTTTTAGTCACATAGGCCTCAACATTAGTCTTATCTTTTTCTGTTTTGATACTTCCATCAAAAGTTTGGTTGAGACAGTTGACATTTGATGGGAAGAACAGAAAGTAAAACTTTTTTTTCTATTTTTTTTTGGTCTTAAACTGTCTCCTTTATTTATTTATATTTGCAATATGAAACAGAGGCTAGGCACCAACACACCCATTCATGCTGGCCTGAGAGGGAGCTGGGTCAAGGTCACTCGGCAACTGGGCTGGACCCCAGACCCTCAGGCACTGGAGGGGGACCCCAGCTGGACCCCCATCAAGCCCCGCCCCAGGGTCTGTGGGAGGCGCAGGGGTCTCGTGAGTGTGTCAGGGCCTCATGGGAATGTCACCGGAGAACCGCTGGGCCAGGCGGAGGGTCCTTGAGCTCCCGACCCAAGGGAAAGTGCAGGGAGAAAGTAAAACTTTTAACAGAAGACCCAAGGACTTCTAATGGATCCATGTGTGTGCTTCAGGAATGTGTGGATGCCTCCTTAGTTACAATAATGTGTGTCTATTTGCTCATTCATTTTCCTGGGCAAAGGGACCAGAGCTTTCATCAAATTATGAAAGGGTATGAAGCCCAGAGAAGTTAGGAATGACTACACTGAGGCACAGAGCAACACCAAGGGGTAGAGATCCAGAATGTGTGAGTACTATGCCTTACAGGAACTTTATTCCTTTTTTAAAATTCTCTAGGCTCTATCACTTATTAAGCTTCTAGAAAGCCATATATCAGCTTTTAATTATATTCATTCCTTCTATAAAATTTGATTTAGTGTTTAGTAAACCAACAGTTACATACAGTTATGCATATTCATAGAATTACATATTCCTCTATATTTACACACACACACACACACACACACACACACACACACACACAATATACACATTTAAAAAATAAAAGTGCTGGTAAGAATATTATCCATTAGGCTGATAAATTTCATACTTAAGTATATATGTTTATATATGGGTAAATATATGTGAATACACTTATGTAAATAAACATACATTTCTGCATACACAGATAGAATTGGACATAATGATCAAGTCCTACTTACATATGGCTGGGTCTGTGTCTGCCCACCCACCAATCAATACCTCATGATAAGATAACTTCTTATAGAGTTCAATGTCTAGGAAAACTCTGGGCCCTTTGTTTTATTTTGCATTTTATAAACAGCTGAGCTACATTATACATTCAGTTTAGTTTAAAGAGTGAGTGATATAGAAAATGCCCGTGTGACCTCTTTTCAAACCCAGAAATGAAGTCCTCGTAGCTTTGCTGCCTGGGAGCCTCACCAATGTCCATCCCTGTCACCTCTTCTCCCCCTGAAACACAGGAACAAACCAGCCGCCATTCCCAGTTACAGTGGGGCCTTGACTTACGAGTGTCCCGACTAACGAGTTTTTTGAGATACCAGCTGTCTCTCGGCCGATTTTTTGCATTGAGTTGACAACGTAATTTGAGTTAATGAGCTCCTTAACGAGCTCGGTCTCGGAACGAATTAAACTCGTAAGTCAAGGCCCCACTGTATTCCCTTTTTGTTCTTTACAGTTTTACCAGTGAGATATGCATCCCCTAAATGTCATTGTTTTGCTTCTTTTGAACTTTATAAAATAGAAATATGCTATATATTTTCCTCTTAAGACTTCTTTTGCTCATTATTATATTTGAGAGTTTATCTGTGCTGATGATTTACGTAGCTGCGGTTTGTTTTCTGTGCTATGTAGTGTTCCATTTATGCAATTATGACTATTTATCCATCCTACTATTGGTGGATGTTGGGAGTGTTTCTGGTTTGAGGCTATTGAAAAGACACTGCTGTGGCTGAGGATGCCAGTTATCCACTAAAATGCACTCTCATCCCCTCTTCCTGGGTACACAGCTAGATTACATTTCCTAGTCCCTCTCGTAATTATGTGTGGTCAGGAGGAAAACTAGTGGACAGTATATGTGCCACTTCAGGTCTGTCCTATAATAACCTTTCACATGTACTTTTTCATACCCTTCCTTGTCCTTGCTGACCTGCTATAGCAGGGCCAACCAACAGTTTCCTGTAAAGGTCAGATGGTAAATGTGCTGGGCTTTGTGAGCCATCCAGTTCCTGTTGCAAACATGCAACTCCACTGCTGCAGCACGAAAGCAGCCACAGACAATATGCAAAACATGGAAATGGCTGCGTTCGAATAAAATTTATTTGCA